TAGGTGACATAATTCTTCCGAGGCATTATTTGTACTGTAAACTGACATAAAATAGTCATTGATTTCATTTGGATCAGATAGATTATCTGGAAGAGAGGTTTTTGTCCGAGAATGTATATTAAGCTGCTTTAAGCCAATCCATACCTTTTTTCGTCATTCTGTTCAGATAAAAATTGTAGATGTGCTCTTTTCTCTTTCCTCACCTGAGTAAGCGCGTGGTTTCTTTTTTGCTTATAAATATTTAGGTTTTCTACAGTTTTATTTGTTTTATATGTAGTATGGGCAATATCTCTTTCTTTAAGAACGTCACGTAGGCGGGGAGGTAGCCATGGAGCAGGTGGTTTGTTTACTCTAAAAGTAGTTACAGGAGCATGCTTATCATAAACTCTCATCAGTGTATTTGTTAGGAACTCAACTTTAGCATCTATATGGTTCATAAAAAAATAAGTCGTCCAAATTTGCAGAAGCTAAGTCACTTAGAAAATATTCTTCGTTGAAGCACTTGAAGTTCCTTACAGTTACAAACCGTTGTTTATTTTTCAAATCAGGAATGGAGAAAGTGCACGATACCATTTTGTGGTCGGATATGCCGTTAGAATCAAGAACCAAACAGTCTGAAATAATGTCTGGTTTATTAGTAAAAACTGGATCTAATAAGGATGCTGTGTTGCTTGTCACTCTTGTAGGATCACTGACAATTTGAGAAAAACCCACCATTTGAAAGCATGGAGAAAGGACGTTGTTGCCGCTCAAAATATCAACATTCAGATCTCCTACAATAACAATGTTATCAAAATTGTTTGACTTTAACGGTAACATGAGATCTAGGGCGCTGATGCAATCATTGAGGTTTTGTGAGGGTGGTCTATACAACACGCCCAAAAGCAAGAGGTATCTGTTTATTTTTATGCTGACCCACAGTTGTTCCAAGCAATTTCCAAAGCTGTTGTCAAAGTTAATAATTTCGACCTGAAGGTCAGTGGATATGTAGACTCCTACTCCGCCACCGCGGGATCCCCTGTCACTACGGAACAGATTGTAATTATTGATACTCACCGCATCATTGGTAATGTCTTGGCTCAACCATGTTTCACTTACAGCGAAAATACTGAACCACTCAGTCTGGATCAGGTCAATAATTGCAGTCGGACATGAGAGATCGCACGTTCAGATGACCAAGCTTCATTGATCCTAACTTATCCATAATCTATTCTAGCTTTAAGACTGAGATCACGGTTCTCAAAAAGCATACATGTTTTATCCGATGCAGCATGCTCAACATTTATTTTTGTAAGATATTTACGGTTATGCTGTACACAGTTTGCACATTTCACAGAATCATTGTCACAATTTTTATAAGAATGGCCACTAGAACATTTAAGACACGTAGATACATTAGATGCACAGTTCTTCTCAAGGTGACCAAATGAACAGCATTTTCGGCACTGCATAATATTGAGGTCATCAACTACGCTGCACCTCTTCCATCCTACGTAGAGAAAACCTTTTGCTAGTAGAAGTTTTCTAATAGATGGAGACACTTCTAGAACTAGGTGCATATTCTTTGAATCCCTCAGCTTTAACTTTGTGACTACTTTCATCGAGGTTGAAGAATCTTCATCGTTCAAGTTGTTTAAAGACAATATGTTTTGAACATTGCTATCATTATCGCCCAAATCATCATTAGAAGAAACATTTCTAATTATACTACGAGGATTAAACTCCTTGGATTCCCCAATGTGATACCCATTTCCAAGCTTGTTTCTAAGAGCTTCCTTCAGCTTCTGCAGGTCCTGCGAGCTGTTGCAATATACCGCTGCACCATCTTTAGTTTTTTTTGTACCACTTAGTTCGACTGGATTGACTGCATCCCTAATGCATTTGACTACATCAGTGTTCTGCTTGTTGTTTGCTGATTTTACCAGTAATAGAGATGAATTAATATTGATTACACGTTTTTTTAGTATATCGCTGTAGCTAGGTGTATTTACATCCTTGGGCACAAAAAGTGGTCCACCTTCACAGGTTACAGTATTTCTACCAGCAGGAAAATTATCATTATCGGATAATTTTGATTTTAACAGTGTGTTTGAATATTCCAATTCATTTACTAGTTTTTGCATCAGACCTTTTTCTCTTTGCAAACACTCGATTTCTTTCCTGCAGATAGCTAACTAAGATGATTCAAATGTAGTCAATTTGCCACAGATCTGATTGGAGACCGGCTTTTCCACTTTAACCTTGCAAGAGTCACAAAACCATTGTAAATTATCACATTTTGATAAAATTCTTAAGACATCGTCTTTCACTGCCACACAGTAATTGTGGAAGCGTTTCTCGCAATTTCTACACGACACGAACTTCGTATTAACTATGAAATTATCCGAGCAGCGCGCACAGACTTATACATCGTCCGCCATGTCGCGAATCCCAGCCAAACATTATGAGTACCAAATGGAGGGCTTAATGAGGGAGTCAGAATAAGCAAGTAACGTCATTCTAAATTCCATATGGCGACTGTCGCAAAATGTAGATCAATCGTTGTATAACTTATATCTATCGAAATATTATAATACAAATAAAGTAATGAGCTTTATGAAGTTATATTAATAAAATACATGAAAATTATTTAGAAATAAATCATCAGACTGGTTATGCACCATAACAAGTACTAAGTAAAACATAGATAAAATGACAAAAAACATTTTTAAGAACAAGCTTCTATTTAGCTGTTATTATACAGGGTGACTTCGAAGTTGAGTCATTTATTTTAACAGTGAGTAGATCTGATCAAAAGAAATGTTTTTTTCCTTTACCATTTTCCTGGTAAAATTAAAGTAACAAAGTTATAGCCCTTTGGAAGTTTGAGTACCGCCCTGTCTCAATAACAATATTATGTGGTCGTGTTTGGCGACAATGGATATAATCCGCCGTATCGGTTCATCGCATCGGAAACAAAAAAGCGAAAGAATTTGGAACGATGTTTTTACAGGTATCTCATTCATTTGTATACAGTTAGTGTCAGTGAATAGTGGTATGTGTTGCGTGGCTCAAACGAAATAAAAAATGGCACATGTTTATGCGGATCGGTTTCCCAATCGAGTGCAACCAACCCCTCGTGCCTTTGTTAATGTAGTACAACGGGCTTGTGAATCAGGTGACTTAAGACCTCACAGGGGACCTCACGATCAAATACAGGTCCGCACTGAAATACTTGTCGGGAGGATACTTTATAAAACAAGGTAAAAATTTTTTTTTATTTTTTTTTTATTTTTACACACATATTTTGGTTTATCTTCCTTCTACAATCATTATCTGAAAATTAATGACTCAGCTTCAAAGTCACCCTGTATTTGAACGATAATGACGCGGGTTACGTTTTGACGGTTGGGTCGAAAACGGCCGTAACACGCTTTTATCTGTCTGAAAACTTGAGATGAATGAGCTTCATTATCGTTTAAGTATTTCCAATCAAAAAATAAAAATTTTTAAATTTTGAGCTTATTTTTGGAAAAGTATTCCGGTGTTTTCTTTATTTCAGAGTGTTTCAAATTTGACCCTCACCATTGGGATCTCCGAAACTGTAAGAGATACGAAGTCGCTAGCATCGAGCAGAGTTGCGTATTTAGGTAATCAACAAAATGACTCTTAGAAAGTTTCGAAATTCAAAGTCAAAGAGAGACGAAAAAAGCCGAATTTGCCCAAAATCGTTTTAATTTTTTCCTAAATTTATTTGCAGTGGAATTGCATATTAACATTGCCACTTTTTCTCCTCTACAAGAAGGCATAATTAGAATTTCAAATTGACGTTTCCTGTCTGCCAATAACTTCAGAAAAAAAATAAAACGGTTTTGGAAAAATTCTGCTTTTCCGGTTTTTGTCCGATACTTTGTTATCCGAAACTTTCTACGGCATCTTCTCAACTATCTAAATACGCAACTTTGTGCCTATGTGAGCGACTTTCCCGAGATGGTGAGAGTCGAATTTAAAACAAGTTCCTGAAAAATATTTTTTCGATTTCATGAATTACTTTTTAGTAGCCATATCTGAATGAACTCTCAGTGTTTTTTTTGTATACTTTCCTATCCTGAAACATTTCCACAGCTTTATGAATCACATACTATAGCTACACATATTATGGGATAAAACCCATTCATAAACATAGGTTCATTCTCCTTCCCCCTTTCACACGCTCCTTCTTTGTCTCCTCGCATAAGTCACCCATTAAGAAATTTAGAAATAAACGCAGGGCCATCTGTGAGCTTACCCCCAAACCCGTATCTCTCAAGACTTTGAAAAGTGTCAATGACTGAATGGATAGAGCTTATTGAGGCGTAATAGGTCTCAAGCTCAAATTTGTTAATACTATGACATTATGATTATGCTGACCACAGTGCTTATTGTGTACATTTATTATCAACCATCTAATGATCCCAGCACGTTCTAGAAAACTGCCAGCCTCCCTCCGGGGAAAATCAATACCGGATCTGAGTTCGGACGTCCTCCGCTAGAGCCGCCGCAACAGAACTCCGCCTCCCTCTTCTGAATGAACAGGTCTGGACATCGCGCTGGCACTCGTTCTCCAACAGTCACAGAGTACGCACGCACCACACAACTCCCCGAACCGTCAAAAACATCGAGTGCAAAGTTAACCTAAAAATGAAGTTGCTCCTGCACAACTCCGAAATACCTAGCTAAACCAACTTTCAACTCATTTCGAAACAAAATCGGAGCAATGTAGAAGAAGTACATTAAGCAGTTAGAGTAACATATCAAGAAACAAGAAGGAAAACAATGCCATAACCCGAATAGAATAGATTTAAGGAGAGTATATATATTTCAAGTAGTATTTTTGATAACCAGCTATTTGGGGCCAGTATACAAAACATTTTTGTTAGAAAAACTAGATAAGTGTTAGATTTGTTGTTCATTAGTCGTAGATTATATGTGCTCAACTAATTGATATCGATGTTCTTATCCGTTTGATGTTTTTGGGTCCATGTCATATAATCCCAGTGCCAAGGAATAATCAGGTAGATCCTATATAATTTTTTACAAGCAAAAGATACCATATACCTTAACCGTATACACAACACACAGAAACACAATATAACACAACTCCACGATACAAGAGGAGCAAGTAAGTTTCGGGAAATTGTAAGCCGTAGAGTTAGACGCGTGGCTAGTCGAAATGGCCAATTCGGTGCCTATTAAGCCTGTGATTTCTACTGTGAGTGGCATCACAGCTCAGCCAGAGGGAGAAATGGATGCTTTATTGTTAGGAAGAACGAGGGTGAGTTATCCAATCTTTGTTCGAATGTAGATTACTCGTAGGACATAGCTTTTATAAGCGGTAGTAAAGCTTTTGGAATAGTTTTCTAGGCAAAGCGCTCACGAAATCTTCTATTCAGTTCTCAGTCTTTATGAATGTATACCAATAAGAGCTTAGTAGCAGTCACGTAAAATGCTTTCGTATCGATAATGATATTTGGTATGTCAATATGGTTTATTCATAGATAAAGGGTTTAGTAGTGTACCGTTTCTGAGTCGGTCTCTCAGATAAAGCGGATACCGCTGGTCTCATAAAAGTTTTCGCAGTACCTCCAGCGTTATTACACGCGTGCTTGATAAGAATAATCTTATGATATATGAGTTTATTACTTCCTTATAACACGTATCCACTTTTGCCACGAGATTTCATTCACAATTAGGCTTGAACAAAATAATTGTCGAGTAACCCAATTTATACAAATGGCGTGTGACAGTTAAACCATTTTTACGGAGCTTGAAAATATGAAAATGCGACGTTATATCTCTTTCCGCCACTCTACAAGATAACCACCGCAACTACGTTCAATTTTCAAAAGCTATAGATATGTTACTTGTTTACCATAGTAGCAGTCTAGCACCAAATCTTTGCGGACAAATTTCTGATGTCTGCAAACAAAGAGACAGACAGATGGAATATGCTACATGGTTTTCTGTGAAGTAGCTACTTGTATGATGTCAAAAACATTAAAAAACAAAAAAGTGAACGTCCACTTGAATGGGGCAACGCAAAGGGGAATTAAATCTGTCTTTACTCGCATGGAATATCGCGTCCTTTCGCTTCGTATCTTTCCAGTAAGCAGGCTCTTATTTGATTATATGTAGGGACCTTACGGAAAAGATTCAGATGTGTTCTCTTAGCTCCACTCAGTGGGCGCGTACCTCCGCACACAGAATTGCGAATGCAATCTTTCCGTTGTCCGATTATAGGTCTCGTTCAAGGTCATCTCATCTACGGCCTTATTGCCTGGCGGGCTGCAAATATCACATATCTTTGTTTATGAAACCAAAGGTATATGACACAGTTATTGTACCAAAAATCATATACTTTTGCTTTTCCTCACCTATGTTTATGTACAATACTGGTAGAAGCTCATACTGGCAGAAACCACGTGTGATCAGTAAAGTATGATTATGACGCACGATAAAACTAGTCCCAAAACCAGAAAAAATGTCTTACAAAGGTCCTATAGCTTTCTGAGAACTAGCTGATGCAATATGCACCCAGAAGAATTACAAACAGATAAACTCACTTGGACTATTTGGATAATGACTTTACCAAGGCCTGATATACACCAAATTATTGATCTGAGAAATAACTAACACCAAACAAAAAACTAGACTAAACGATACTCCCGAATATATAACTTTTACCCGAATGCAGGCACTAGAGATGCTAGAGTAAACAATAAAAAATCGGACTAGATAATATTCTGCGGGTCCTTCTCTTATTTTTGTTCTCGATATAAGATTTATTTGGGCAAAGTGCATGTATATTTTAAGGACAAATACATATTGTTATTGTTTATCATTTATACACTATAGATAAAATACAGGTAATTCATAGAAAGAAATTAATACAGGGTGTGAACGTTATTATTTATATGGGTGATTTATATGAGTGATAAAAGAAGCAAAAAGATTGGGGGTCAAAACGGCATTTTTTTAGAGACAAGCGACTTTAAAGTAAAATAAAATCTGACAACGCCGCAATGCCTGACGCAAATTACGACGGAACGCAGTGTAAATAAAGATGGAGTTCGTTATTTTTGGCTATTAGGTATTATTTCATTATTTGATAATGTACTCGTAAAATGCAAACAATTAAAAAAACGGACACTAACTGTCTCAGCGCTTCACCTGGTGTGTGAAAGTTTATTGAATGTATTAAAAAAATCCACTTATAAATAAGGAATACAATTTTGATACATACATTGTTTTTCTTTTTAAAACCCACACTGCACTTTTTTCGTATTTAAAGGTGTTCAAAATGTCGTCCTCTGCATTCCACACAAGGTTCATTACGACGAACCCAGTTTCTTCTTACTCTAGGTCCTCGAAGTTGTCCATTTATTATTTCAGCCACATTAAAATTTTTGTTGGACCAGCCCCATAAACCATCCGTTTAAGTTCTCCTCAATACCAGAAATCTATCGGATTGAGGTCAGGAGATCTTGCTGTCCATTTTAGACGATCAGGAGCATTTCGACCGATCCAGCGATTTGGATAATGTTCATTCAAATACTGAATGACGCCTCTAAAAATGTGTGGTGGTGCCCCGCCGTGAAGAAACCACAAATTCTGTCTCCGTTGTAATGGCATGTTGTCTAAGGTATGTTCCAAAAGTTCTGGTAGGTTATTGGCTAGAAAACTAAGGTATTCTTCTCCTGGTAACTTTGAGGGTAACTCGAAAGGGCCAATTACCTGATCGTCAAGAATAACCCCCAAATATTTATTTTAAAACGTTGTTGGAAATGACCTTCACGACTGGTATGAGGATTTTCTTGGGCATACGTATGCGTATTACGGAAAAGTACATTCGTCCGTCGCTAGAATTTTAAAAAAAAATCCGGATTTTCAATATCTTTGTGCAAAAACCACTAACAGAATGTTAGTCTGCGAGGATAGTCTTCTAGTAACAAGGCCTCTGCACTCGTTGTACATGGTAGGGATAAAGCAAATTTTCCCGTAGGATTCTATAGATAGTCCTACGCGGCGGCCTAATTCCCGAGTGCTGATATCTGCATTGATTTCCACGACATTTAAAATGTATTCCTCCTGCTCTACAGTAACCTGTCTCTCACGAGTGCGAATATCAGTGGGCTTCCTGTATCTCGAAGTCTTTGGTACACTTGCACAAATGTCATTGTGTCTGGGTGTACCCGTTGGCGAAATCTGTCGCGATAAATTTGAACTGCAAGATTTGAATTCTGACGAGCTTCACCGCAAAATAACATCTCGGGAGACTCTTGATTCGAGAACATTGTAAATAACACGACGACGTACGCGAACAAAAACAAAACAATACGCCCGATGCCCGATAACTAACTACTGTTACCCTTTGCGATCGATTGCCGGGTCGATAAGAGTGATGAAAGACCGACGCGCTGTTGTTATGTGTGTTCTAAATATTTAATTTAATGAAACTTACTGACTACAAATTCAGTTTTACAGTTTGAAAACGTTTAAGATTAGATTATAAAAATTCGTAAGATTGTGGTGATTGTGGTTGATATAAAGTTGTAAACTACAAAGCCATTTATACAAATATCTATTGACTCTTGGACCATGGGTCATATGAACTTTTTGACTTGTTTTGATCTCCTCTATTACCCGTTTTAATAATGAATACCATAACGTTTACACCCTGTATATTATACACGTTCATCTCCTCATCCACCATGTCACCGCATTTATTGGCACTCATGTTTCCTTAAACTTGTACCATTTTTATTAAGTTATTGAATCCGCTATGAGTATATATATATACTTTGAAGTTGAGTCATTAATTTCCAGATAATGATTGTAGAAGGAAGATAAACCAAAATATGTGTGTAAAAATAAAAAAAAAATAAAAAAAAAATGTTACCTTGTTTAATAAAGTATCCTCCCGACAAGTACTTCAGTGCGGACCTGTATTTGATCGTGCGGTCTTGGAGCAGCATGCCCTCACCTGTGAGGTCTTAAGTCACCTGATTCACGAGCCCTTTGTACTACATTAACAAAGGCACGAGGGGTTGGTTGCACTCGATTGGGAAACCGACTCGCGTAAATCCGTGATGCATCCGGGAGCATCTTGTAAAGACTGCCCCCCCCGTAAATAAGAATCATGTCCACAAGTTCAGCATTTTCGTAAACATGTGCCATTTTTGATTTCGTTTGAGCCACGCAACACACCACTATTCACTCAGGATTAATCGACTGACGAAAAACATCGTGATAAACGTTTCAAATTCTTTCGCTTTTTTGTTTCCGATGCGATGAACCGGTCAGGCGGATTATATCCGTTGTCGCCAAACACGAGCATATAATAGGCAGGGCGGTACTCAAACTTCCAAAGGGCTATAACTTTGTTACTTTAATTTTACCAGAAAAATGGTAAAGGAAAAAACATTTCTTTTGATCAGATCTACTCACTGTTAAAATAAATGACTCAACTTCGAAGTCACCCTGTATACAAGGGTGACTTTGAAGTTGAGTCATTAATTTCCAGATAATGATTGTAGAAGGAAGATAAACCAAAATATGTGTGTAAAAATAAAAAAAAAAATAAAAAAAAAAATTTACCTTGTTTTATAAAGTATCCTCCCGACAAGTATTTCAGTGCGGACCTGTATTTGATCGTGAGGTCTTGGAGCACCGGCATGCCGTCCATATGTGAGGTCTTAAGTCACCTGATTCACGAGCCCGTTGTACTACATTAACAAAGGCACGAGGGGTTGGTTGCACTCGATTGGGAAACCGATCCGCATAAACATGTGCCATTTTTTATTTCGTTTGAGCCACGCAACAGACACCACTATTCACTACCGATTGACACTGACTGTATACAACTGCATGAAATAATTGTAAAAACATCGTTCCAAATTCTTTCGCTTTTTTGTTTCCGATGCGATGAACCGATAAGGCGGATTATATCCGTTGTCGCCAAACACGAGCACATAATATTATTATTGAGACAGGGCGGTAGGGCGGTACTCAAACTTCCAAAGGGCTATAACTTTGTTACTTTAATTTTACCAGAAAAATGGTAAAGGAAAAAAACATTTCTTTTGATCAGATCTACTCACTGTTAAAATAAATGACTCAACTTCGAAGTCACCCTGTATATATATTCTGGAGACTATTTTTCATCAGTTAGAACAAACAAGGAGTTTCTATTAAACGCTGCTAAAAACAGCTGTCCAAGCCAATTAGTTATACCTTGTGGCTTGAAAAGAACCTTACAATACTTCACATGTCCTA